GTCTCTTCAATACTGAAACAATTTCAATATTTAATTATGTTCAATAAGAATTATTTTTATGACTGTTATGTATTTTTTAGTATTGTTTAATTTAAAAGTGTCTTGCTATGCAAGACACTTTTGAATTGGGCAACTATTACCTGGGTAAGATAAAAGGTATGATAAGTTAAGAATGTGGGTAACACATTCTTAACTTATCATAACTACTAAAAATTTTTTGAAGTATTTGGAATGGCTTTTTATACAAGAATAAAAGGCCAGAAAATCTTATAAACTTACTTGCAAAGAGTTTTTCAGTCTAAAACAGCATTAGTTAATATTGTCTAATGAAATTTATGATTGTTGAATTAAACATGTTATTTTGTAGCAGGGTTTTGTTCATTTTTATAAATTTTCAAATCAAATTTAAATAAATGACTGTTTATATTAGGTGGTTGCAAAAATTTGTGCCTGATTTAAAAATAAATTAGATAAAACAATTTTTTAAATTTATTTTGTGTAACAACATTTTTAATAATCAGTAATGTACTCACTGCACATCAATGTCATCCTAATAGATCACTCAGTCAAAAGTATGATTGTTTAAGAAGTTATAGAGCTGTCAAAAGTGAATGGTTCTGCCATCTATATTAAACACAAATTTTTTAATCACAAAATTTTGCAATAAAAATAAAAAGAAATTTCAAAGCATTTTTATATTTTATTTTTAAATTAAGAGAGTTGTGATATTTTAAACCCTATTTATTCTTATTCTTATTTATTGTCACTGCTTAAATGCGTTCCTAAAGCCTTCTTTAGGAACGCATATAAAAAAAAGTTTTATGTTTGTAGAAAATGACTTTAGGAACACTAATTTTTGAAATTCAATGCATATTTTAAAAGATATTGTATTGAATACTATTTTTTAGTTTTTCACAAATATTTTCATAAAATGTTTCAAAATGATTCATAAAATTCCAAACTTTTTTTATTAATGAAAGATCCTTTAAAATTAAAAATGTAGGTGGCAAAGGTTTTTAAACCAATTAACTGCTTATTAATTTACTTTATTATTATTTTTTATATGGTCATGGATTTACGTTTTAAATAAAACCATAAATCCATAGACATGGTTGTTTTAAAATAATCAAGTCTTTGTGATGAATAATCAAGTCTTTGTGATGAATAATCAAGTCTTTGTGATGAATAATCAAGTCTTTGTGATGAATAATCGAGTCTTTGTGAGGATTAATCAAGTCTTTGTGATGAATAATCAAGTCTTTGTGATAAATAATCAAGTCTTTGTGATGAATATTTATTTTTATTTATCTACTTATTTTTACTTATTTTTTATTATAATAATTTTTTTTTTGTCAGGGCATTTTAAGTTCTACTACTCCTTCCACCAATACATCTTCAAGTAGAGACTCTAATTCCAATAGTCATGGCAACATTGGACCTCCTAATTCAACTGGAGGTGCTACAGTTTTTGACAACGAGTTTCCTGCTTTGGCAAATAGACTTGGAAACTCATCTTCTTCTCGACCTGGTTTGTTGATAATTTTATTAAAAAAAATTATTTTTATTTCAATATTTATGGAAAACATTTCTACATAAGATAATGCGCAATAAATTAGGTAACATGCATGGAAATTTTTATATTTTTCTAGGACTTTTTATTACTTGCATGTTGCACATTATTACTAATGATGTGCAAACAATAATTTAATCTAATAATTAGATAACGATTTTCTCAGAAAAGAAAATAACGATCTTTTTAAAAAAAAAGTAGATTTTCTCTCAGATAGGTAGATAACAGTTTTTTCTGAGAAAAAGTAGATTTTCTCTCAGATAGGTAGATAACAGTTTTTTCTGAGATAAAGTAGATTTTCTCTCAGACAGGTAGATAACAGTTTTTTCTGAGATAAAGTAGATTTTCTCTCAGATAGGTAGATAACAGTTTTTTCTGAGATAAAGTAGATTTTCTCTCAGATAGGTAGATAACAGTTTTTTCTGAGAAAAAGTAGATTTTCTCTCAGATAGGTAGATAACAGTTTTTTCTGAGATAAAGTAGATTTTCTCTCAGACAGGTAGATAACAGTTTTTTCTGAGATAAAGTAGATTTTCTCTCAGATAGGTAGATAACAGTTTTTTCTGAGATAAAGTAGATTTTCTCTCAGATAAGTAGATAACAGTTTTTTCTGAGAAAAAGTAGATTTTCTCTCAGATAGGTAGATAACAGTTTTTTCTGAGAAAACGTAGATTTTCTCTCAGATAGGTAGATAACAGTTTTTTCTGAGATAAAGTAGATTTTCTCTCAGATAAGTAGATAACAGTTTTTTCTGAGAAAACGTAGATTTTCTCTCAGATAGGTAGATAACAGTTTTTTCTGAGAAAAAGTAGATTTTCTCTCAGATAAGTAGATAACAGTTTTTTCTGAGATAAAGTAGATTTTCTCTCAGATAGGTAGATAACAGTTTTTTCTGAGAAAAAGTAGATTTTCTCTCAGATTAGTAGATAACAGTTTTTTCTGAGAAAAAGTAGATTTTCTCTCAGATAGGTAGATAACAGTTTTTTCTGAGAAAAAGTAGATTTTCTCTCAGATAAGTAGATAACAGTTTTTTCTGAGAAAAAGTAGATTTTCTCTCAGATAGGTAGATAACAGTTTTTTCTGAGAAAAAGTAGATTTTCTCTCAGATAGGTAGATAACAGTTTTTTCTGAGAAAAAGTAGATTTTCTCTCAGATAGGTAGATAACAGTTTTTTCTGAGATAAAGTAGATTTTCTCTCAGATAGGTAGATAACAGTTTTTTCTGAGAAAAAGAAACAACTTAAAATCTTAATCTGATTCTTGCAGTATGTTGACCAGATTGGTCAACATACTGCAAGTGCAGATTTTCTATTTTTTTTTTTATTTATTTATTTTAGAATTTTTTTAAATTTATCTAGAGTTGCTTATCTGAAGTTGTTGTGCAGATTTAAATGTTATTAATGTTGTTAAAGTTTCAGTGAGATCTCTGCTTGTTACCGACTTGAACATTAATTCTTTTTCTTCAGGTAGTTAGTCTTTCAAGGAAACAAACAAAAAACATACTTAACATTTTGCTTTGCATATAATGGTTGTTTTTAGCTTTTCTCAGGATTTGAAATCATTTGATTTAATTCAGCTTTTTCATGGTTTGATTTCATTCCGCAGACTTGTAATTTCAATATGAGTTTTGATTCTCCTATCATTATTCATATACCTGGATTATCAAAAAAAATTGTTTTGTTGTACATTATGTTTGTTGTGAATACTCCAGTAATGCTTACAGTTAAATTATTAATAATACAGTTAAGTTATTAAAACATATATTATGTTAATTTAGCACAAAATACTTTGATAAATGCTATCCATCACAGGGTTAAAAAAAGTGTGGGAAAAAAAAAATAGTTTCAAAAAATCAAAAATCAAAAAAAGTTTTTTTGCTTATAATTTCATTAAAAACCTATATTTAGTTTGCCTTAATTAAAAAATGCTACAGGTACTTAATAAAAATAATTTTTCATAACTAAGTTTTCATCAGCATATAGCTATTATACATTTACAATGTTTATTATTACACAGTTACATTTAGAGGTGTGCCGGTATATGTGCCAGTATATGCTAAGTCCCTGATTCCGGTTACCCGGTGGTAAAAACTGGGTCGGAGACTGGGTACCCGGCACCAAGTCTGTAAGAATAAAAAAAAATTTAAACAAATAAAAAATAGTTTAAAAAATTTTTTTGCTGTATTTTATTTTAATTTCTTTAATGATTTTTTGTTTGTGACAAATGAAAAACGTTATCAACGTTCAAAATAATTAAAAAGTAGACGATCAAATTATATTAAATACAAATAGTTGAAAACTTCATTTGAACAGAATTGAGATTTTTAAAAAAGGCTAAAAAGTAATTATAACCCCCCAAAACTATGCAATATTTTTTTCTTTTTAGCAGTCGTGGCGCAGTGGTAGATTGCTTGCTTCTGAGGGGGCAAACCCCTCCCCCTACTTTTTTTTGTGTGAACCTTCTTTCTTTTTTTAAAGAAATTGATGATTTTTATAAGAAATGTAGGAAATTTTTTCGAAATAAGGTAGTGTGCCCCCTAATTTGAAAACCATGTCATCTACCCTGCGAAAACCATTGATTTTTTGTCCAGTTTCTCAAACTTTATGGGAAAAAAATTTAGTTGAAAATCGTCTATGTTGGTTAAAAGGTCATTGGTTTAAATATTTATTTATTGTAAACAATCATTTAGCAAAAACCTTATTTAACAATGACCTACGCAAAGTATTCAATTTTCACTCATTTCTTTCTCTTACGTTCTAAAAAATAAAAAGAGGCAATTACTTGTTTTTTTTCTTTCTTTTTCTTTTTCTTTTTTTCGTATTCTTATATTATATTGGTTTACCTTACGGTTTTTATATCTGTATAAACCAGTTTCCTTTTTGCAATAAGCAAAAAAAATAAGCACTATTTTTTATTTGGTTAATAATTTTTCTACACAATTTAAAGTAACACTAAAACACAATTTGCTTTACTATTTATTAGTTACAGTACTTAAAGGTTATATCTGTTAAAAATATTTTTCAAGATACACGGTGCCAGATACATCACCAAAATGTGTGATTCCGGGAACCTGATAAAACCGCCAAATTACCGGGTACCCGGGTACCCAGCATATCTTTAGTTACACTGTTTATTGTTACACAATTATACTGTTTATGCCTAAATGGTCTATTTTGTTTTATTTGTCAATAAATCTTTATTTAATTTTATATTAGATGCACTTTGATGCAACTGCAAATCTTTTCAATGAGGATAAGATTTATATACAATTAAAATAAGATACCTAATACAATTATTATATAATAAAAATAAGATACCTAATACAATTATTTGCAATTGATTTTGACAATTGATGAATATCATTTCTAGAAGTATTTATTTTTTCTAATGAAAAGCTCATTCTATTGCAAATACATAAATTATTGGTTCATAATTACAATCATCTTAACCTGTTTTTCTTAACATCTTTGTAGACCACTTTCAAAATTTTAAAAATTTAACAAGTCGCTTTTAAACTTAATTGTAAATGTATAAGGATACATTAAATAAACAAAAACAATTGTTACAATTGTAATTAATAAAAGTGTTTAAAAAATGGGCGCATATCAGTTTTTTAATGGTTGTTGCTACATTTGTTTGATATTATATTGAGAAATTGTCTTAGGAAATACTATTGCAGAACTGTTGTTAGAAGTTTCGCAATAGTGTATTGCTTTTTTTTTTGTTATGTAACTTAGTACAATGTTTCTAAACATGTTTTTTATGTTGGAGTCAAACCTAGTTTGGGTAAAGTGCCAGCTTTCTAAAACTATAGAAAATTTCTTTCAAAAAATTATCCATGGTTTGAGCATCAGATGCCTTTATTTGGTTGACATATTTAAATTAGTATCTTGTTTTTCAAATTTGAGAACTTGTTTTAAAATAATTTGTTTTAAAATAATAAGTGGGTAGAATTCAATAAATACAACTGTGTACCTTGATTTTAGTATATCTTTTTGATATTTTTGTTGGTTCATTGTGATCAGTGTCATATAATAAAAATTGTTACATTAAATAACCATTAGAATAAAAACAAACCATCACAACGATAACATTGGACTCTTTTTTTTTCCTAATTCGATTTTCTGTGTTAACAGATAAGGTCTTGGGATGCAATCAATCAACAGTATTGTGTCTAATATTTCTTAGTACCTAAACTGTTTAATTTTTCTAGTCCTTAACACATCTTTTGATTTTGTTCATTTAGGTTGATTAAAAACATTTGTTATTTTTGTATCAAATCAAAATGATAATTTTAATCTTAATTTGACAAATCTTAATTTAATCTATTTATTTTAATCGATTTAATTTAATCTATTTAATTTAATCTATTTAATTTAATCTATTAAATTTAATCTATTAAATTTAATCTATTTAATTTAATCTATTTAATTTAATCTATTTAATTTAATCTATTTAATTTAATCTATTTAATTTAATCTATTTAATTTAATCTATTAAATTTAATCTATTTAATTTAATCTATTTATTTTAATCTATTTATTTTAATCTATTTATTTTAATCTATTTATTTTAATCTATTTATTTTAATCTATTTATTTTAATCTATTTAATTTAATCTATTTAATTTAATCTATTTAATTTAATCTATTTAATTTAATCTTAATTTTTAGTTCTAGTTGTTAAAAGAATTTAAATTACATTTAACAAATAAGTTGAAAATATATAGTTGATATTTTTTACTAGTTAATTAAAAACTATTTATACTTAATTTTAATATCTAACCAGGCCTCGGCGTGGAGAAATGAGTGTGAGAGCAGCGAAAAGCTCTCCTAAAACGAACATGCCAGCCATGCAAGCTGCTCCTCTAATCAGCTTCTTAGGAGAGCTTTTGGTTTTTGCGCGAGTTATCTGTTTATTCATTAAAAAAATAATTATTAAATACAAAACTTTGGTTTTATACTTGTTACAAGCCCAGGGTGGGACAAATCCTTTTCATTTAATGAAGGTTGACGTTTGTATCTTTATTTAAAGACCAACGTTTAATTTAAGAGATAGGAATTGGATAGGAAAATTTATGTCATAGGAAGTTTTATTTTCAATTAATATTTATTATAATTAATAAGTTATTATCAATTATGCTTTTCGAATTTAATTAATTTTTATTTCATCAAAACAATTTTAGGTATTTTCAAAGTGCGCGCGAATTAATTTTAATTAATATGCAATGACCTAATGATTGTAAATTGTTATCTATTGATACTAAATAATGAATTTTTCTCAATTTATTTTGCTAAATTTATTTACAAATCAAGAAACGTATAAACTTGTAGAAATTAAAGTAAAAGAAGCTAAAAATAAAATATAAGTTTTGACATTTCTTTTTTAAAACTTTTAAAAATAAAATCTTATTTTATATATATATAAGTATTTAATAATATGTTAATAAAAATATCATATTATTGGCGTTGTTAAATGCACAATAAAAAATGAAAACTATAATAAACATATTAACTTTAAACTTAAAAATTCATTTCAAACATTTTAAAGTGTTTTAACGTGCAAATAAACATTACTTCACTTTAAGAAAAATTAGCAAATTAAAAAAAAAGTACACTAAAAAAGCAATAATATTTAAGATTGTTTTTTTTAAAAAGTAATTGCAAATTCATTCATTCATCAAGTAAAATTAGGCATGCTTTTGATAACGCATGCAAAAACCATGCTAAAGCATAATTACTTTCTTTGAAAACATACTTAGTTATTTCACTTAAAAGTAACGCTATAGAAGAAAATAATCTTTTGAAAAAAAAATCTCTAAAATGTGTTTTAAATTTTAGTAACCGTAATCGTATTTGTTTTTTATTATATATAAGTGTTTCTATAATAAATAAAAATTATCAATCACATAATTATCTGAAAAAAAAAATTAATAAAGTAAAGCGTGTGTTTTTAAAAACTTTCAGCAAATGCCAATGTTTGCATATGCAAAAGTATGGAAAAATGACATTTGTTTTTTTGTCGTTTTTTTAAAAAGTTTTTATATTTTCTTATTGTAATAGAATGCAGGCAGTTGAAGAATTATTAAAAATAATTATTAAAATGGCAGTGTTTTTGATTTTAGTTACAAAGATAATTATACTTTTGAGAAAAATTATACTTTTGCGAGAGCCATAAATTGCTCCTATAAACTGTTTTAGAGGATGTGGGCAAGAGCTAAAGCTCTCGCTTCCCGCTGAGGCCTGATTAACTAAATTGTTTTATGCTGTTCTGTTTAAAATAGAGTTTTGTTTTGTTTTTAACTAATATTGTCACATGCTCTGTTGTGGTATTGATTTAAAACTGCTTGTCTTTAATTTTTTTTTTTTTTTTATAAATTTTTATTAACTGTATTGTTTTTTTTGTTTTTTTTAAACTTATTTTATTTAAAGCTTTTTTAGACAAAATATTTATTCTTGCTATCTATTATTTTAGGGCAAAGTTCCTTTTCATTTGTCATGTCAACAGGAAATAAGTCGTTAGATGCTAATCAAGAATTTCAAATTCAAAATGAAGACTTTCCTGCATTACCTGGTGCAACACAACAACAAATGCAATCTGACGGTAGTGCTCTTGGCGGCGGCATACAAGGAATTACACAATCCACTTCTTCAACATCAAATACTCTCCAGCACCAAGATAGTAAAGAAAATTTAACAACAGAAAATTATGGTTATTATAGTTTATTATAGAATTTATTATATTTTTATAAATTTATGGCTTAAATATTCTTTATATTTTTTATTTAATTTGTTATATTTATATTTTATATAAAAAGTTATATTTATATTTTAGGATAGCCTTTTGATAAAAAATATTTATTTTTAAAATTTTTATATGTTCTTAAAATAAAATGTTCTAAGATCTTAAGCATCCCCTAAAAATTACTTTTTTAAGCTAATTTTTCAAAACTGATTTTAATTAAATATAATACTATTATAGTTGTGGAGCACAATTTTATCATCTTTCTCATCTTTTGATGTCTTTTGATTCCTATTATGTCTATTATCTTTTGATTCCTTAAGATTTGAATAGTCAGATGCTTGGTCTGGACATGTACTTTTGCATCAGTTTACCTATTTATTGTAAAATCAGGTTTAAATTCTCTAACACAAATAACTTTCATAATCTTTTATTATTGTTAATTATTCTTCTCATATCATCATCCTTAGCTCCTTAGTTATATCTCTGATGCTAGTTTTTTGCTTACTTTTTCCTCATTTTTCTTTAGGTGGTTCAGATCGTAGTATGGCATATGTATATTCTTCTTATCATCTCTTTTTTCTTATATGTATAGAGAGATCTTTAATACATATATATAGAGAGAGACACACACAAGCACACAATGTGTGTGTATTGATGTATAAAATTAGAAAGAGCGAAATAGAGGTTTTTGTTTTTAGCATGAGCTATCTATTTTTTCATAAAGAAAATTCTTTAATAGATTCAAAATTTGATTTTATATATTTAGCATAATGTTAGTTTTTCAAGTATTTATGCTTAACGAGCATCTTTTATCTTGAAAACTTTTGTTTTTTAAAAGTTTTTAAGACAATTGTTTGTTTTTACACTATTTATTTATTAACAACTTTACTTATTCAATTGAAAATTTGCAGGAAATTTAAGAACTATTACAAAAAATTCCATAACAAAAGTTTTAATATAATTACAATTATTTTTTAGCAAAACATTTAATTGTGCATTATATATTTTTTATTTTGCTCAAATCAAGACAAATTTATATAATTCATTATATATAATGAATAAAATATATAATTCATTTCATAATGTAAAAGTTATTAAGCAATAATTTAGTGCGTAATAATTTTTTTTAAATGACTTTGAGCAAGTATAAAATGTGTTTGAGCAAAATAAAAAAATGCAATTATAACATTCCAAAAGAATGTTTTATCTTTTTAAATGTGTTTTTAAAAATGTTTCATCAACTGAATATTACATAATAGCTTTAATGTGGCATTGATATAGGATTAAAAAAATAATATGACTGAATATTATCAATTTATTTTGGCATTTAATCAGTTAGTCTAATCTAATTAAAAATATTTGCATCTTAATTGGCGCTCTTTTAATATATTTTTTGCAATAACCGTAACTTTAAACAACCATTACAGCTTATCATGCAATTATTGGTTTATTTCAAAAATGACTATTTTGTGCTTTTTGTTTTAGACATAATAATAATGCTTTCCTTTTATAAACAACTTTATGAACTATACCATTTTATTAATATTTTAGTGATGTTACACAAAAAAGTAAAAATTACTATTTACTAATTCTTTTATAACTTATATTATAGTTATGTAATATTTTATTTGCTTTTGTAATACTAAAGTTCTGCTGAAACAAAAAATTTATTGTAGTATAGAGTTATATTATAAAGTTGACAAGTTGTTAGCCATTTGTATAGTTAAAATATAATTCAAGCGATACAAAAAAAATCAGTGACTGTTATGCAAAATATAAACAAATCTAAAAATGGAGAAGACAAAATAACTTTTACAAGAGCCATAAATTGCTCCTGTTAACCACGTTAATGGAGTGTGGGTGAGGAACCTTTTTCTTACAGTTGAGTCCTATTTGTGTATATATATTATTATACTATTAGATAATCGATGTACCAGTACTCCCTTGTAGCAGCAGGCTAAAAGATAGTTGATGTACCAACACTCCCTTCTAGCAGCAGGCTGTAAGATAGTCGATGTAGCAGCACTCCTTTCTAGCAGCAGACTATAAGACAGTTGATATAGCAACTAGGGCTGTACCGGATTTAATTTTTCCAAATCCGGCCGGAGCCGGATTTGCCGGATTTTTACTAACAGATCCGGCCAGAATTGGAGCCGGAGCCGGATTTTGAAGCAAAACTACAGGAACCAAAATCCTGTATATCCCTACTTGGTGTTGAAAATGGTCAACAATGTTGACTATTTAGATCACCAAGTGACAGTTCCCGACGGGCATTTCTTTTTAAAAGTTACGATCTAAATGTATTTTAAATGTCTTTTAAACGTCTTTTAAAAAAAGACGTTTAAAAGACATTTAAAACACATTCAGAACGTAACTTTTATATATACGGCCGACTTGATAACTGCTGTAACTGAAAGATTTTATCGCGCATTAGATGGAGGCGGTGAGGCTAGGGCTATTGCTCTCGACATATCTAAAGCTTTCGACAAAGTTTGGCATGCTGGTCTTCTCCATAAGCTTGCTTCATATGGTGTTTCTGGGAAAGTTTTTGAGATTATCAAATCATTTCTTTCTAACCGGTTTATTAAAGTCATCCTTGAAGGCCAACACTCTTCTTTATTTCCAGTAACTTCTGGAGTTCCCCAAGGTTCCATCCTGGGCCCTGTTTTGTTTCTTATCTACATAAACAATGTTCCTGACAACCTTTCCTCTAAAGTAGCTCTTTTTGCTGATGACTCAACTTTATACTCCTGTCTTGACAAAAAGTCTTCTCTTTTCGATCGCCTAGAACGAGCAGCTGATCTTCAGTAATAGATTGGGGTTCACAGTGGCTTGTGAATTTCAACTCTAAAAAACCCAGTTGCTTACTGCAAACAACTACCGTAATATGGTCAACATTCCTATATAAATGAATGGCAATCCTCTTACTGAGTCCTCCTCTTTACGTCTTCTTGGACTATCGCTTACTACTGACCTTTCATGGAAACCGTATATACAATCGATTGCTAAGCTTGAACCTCTTTCCCATTGTCGTAAAGTTGCATCTCTTTTTCTTTTCTACAAATACTATCATGGTCACTGCTCAAAGGAGTTATCATCTCTAGTTCCATCAACTAAAATTCATTCTCGTTTTACTCGTCATTCAGCTAAGTCTCATTCGTTTACTGTATCTGTCCCTGCATGCTCTAAAAACTTTTATTTATCTAGTTTTTTTCCCCGCACTTCAATCCTTTGGAACTCTCTCCCATCTTCATGTTTTCCTGACTCATACAACCTTCAACTTTTCAAGTCTTCTGTCAACCGTTTCCTTGCTTTATAACTCTGTTCTTTTTTTCCCTAGTAACTCCCAACTTAATAGTGGTTGCTTGCAGCCTTGTTGGGAGTAAATGCAAATAAAAAAAAAAAAAAAAAAAGTTTAATGTGGTTTTTTATACAAAAACGGTAATTTTAAGATCTTTACTATAGGAATGTATGTATATATATATATATATATATATATATATATATATATATATATATATATATATATATATATATATATATATAGACACACACACACATTGGTATATAATTTTTTCTTGTAAAACATGATAAACTAGTTTATTATAAAATTTGTATTATAAATCTAAGTTTACCATGGTTTTAATTTATTTACATTAAAATATTTAAAAATAATGGTTCTATTATTCGAAGTTTTTATTATTTTTTGCTGTAGTCTAATTAAATGTAAACATAAATAATTACTTAAAAAAAAATTTTAATTTATTTTCAAGGTTTAGGTTCTTCTTATGAGCAAATTCTCAAAGATGGCAGGTACTTTTTGAAACATTTATTTTAAATTATTTTGTTTATAATTTGGATTAACATTTATGAAAATACAATTACTGAAAACTTTTAAGGTTTTTATAATTAAATATATTTGGATATTTATTTAAGTTGTTTTTTTTTTCAAGTATATTAAGTATAGTATTTGATTTACTATATATATTTTATTTAATGATATAAATTTTATTTTGAATTTTAGGTCGGTTGACAAAAAAACAAGAACTTCTATTTCTGGTATCCAGACAAACTCATCGGGTATTTTTTTATTTTTTTGATTCGTAACCAAGTCATATAATTAATAGCATTATATAATACCAATTTGTGATTAGTAATAGTTTGAATGATTTTTTGTTTTTGTTTTGTTTACATAGTAATATATTTTCTTATTGTTTTATTAATTTTTATTTCCAAAAATGATTAAATCAAGAATCAATTTCACATTACCCAAAAGTTTAGTAATTATTTATTATAAATTATATATATTATATACTTCAATACATTTTAATGTTATGAAATGATATAGTTGATAATATAACAACGGAATAGTCTGTCTTAAAAATCACAAATTCTTAATTGTTGCCGAATCTTACCAAATAAACCATCAATATAAATTTTACCACAGCTTACAACAATAAGTCTGTTTATATACTATGAATTAAGTATATTATAAAAGAAACTTAATTTCAAGAAGAAAAAAAAAATTGAAGAGAAGATTTTGAAATTTCTTCTCCATTCATACTTAATGTTGGATTAGTCACTCTATTTAGTGGCTGTATAGCTTAGTTGGTTAGAGCTTCAAACAAAAAGTTAAAACTTGGACTGTTGTACGATACATGTTCAAATCCTGCTACCGCCAACTCAGCGCTTGAGTAGTACTTCTGTACGCTAAAATGTTGGTCAATAACAGGCGATACTTTGAATTAGTCTTAATGATTATTTATGGCTGTTCCTATGCTAAGCCAACAATATCTTTAGATAAAAACATTGTATAGAAAAATATAGCATAAAAATTCAAATAAATAAAAATAAAAAAAATATTCACAAACTTATACACTCTCACTCTCATTGATTTTGATTTTGTATTTGAAATTAGATTTTATTAAAAGTTAAACTTTGAAATTAGATTTTATTGAAGGTTGAACAATGTTATGTCAAGAACATCAACTAAAAAAAATAAAATAAAAAAAACATAATGAAATAAGAAGTAAAATTGCCAAATGAGTTAACTCTACTTTGAAAAATTTTCAAACACACAACCTGTTAGATCTAATTCTAACCAACAACCATAAAAATGTATCCAACATAGAACTTGCTACCTTATTTACAAGTACCTGTTACCACTGCATCATTTTTTTTAAATGTTGTTTGATCTCAAAATTTCATAAAAGTCTTAATTATTAACTGTATAATTTTCACAAAACAAATGTTTCTTTTCTTATTGAATTAAATGATTTTTTAATATCTTATCTTAAACTAAATTGAAAAAATGTTTAATATCTTATCTTAAATTAAATTGAAAAATCTTTAATATCTTATCTTAAATTAAATTGAAAGATTGAATCTCCATATACATCCAATCTTTAATTAAAATGATTTAATTAAGATAAAAGCCAAATTACTTACTGATGAATAAACTCATCATAAAGTAAATTGTAAGTAATAAGCAGTTTTTTAAGTATCCAAGTTAGCATAAATGTTGATAATCTTAAATAGGTGGACCACTGCAGTTAATGTAAAATTGAAAACTGATATTATTTATATACAATTTTAAGAAGGGCTCACTGAAGTTCTTACTGAACTCTTATTGAAGTTGTTCAATATAGTTCCTATAATTCATGCTCCAAATAAATATTTAAACTGCAGTGTACAGTGTTATGTATGAATAGTTTAAATGGATTACAAATTCTCTCAATATGTTTGTATTGGTAATTTGTATTCAACAATACTGTGTATGCAGATCAATATGGCTACCACTAAATCAATATAGCTACCAAAAAATCTTTTTACTTAAGTTATGGAAATTTTTCATATTAGCATTTGAATTCTGATACCCCTATTGAGTCTGTAAAATTATTTCAATATATCATTATAATTGTGTCAATGAAGTTTTCTAATCACTCTTATATTGCTGGCAATGTTTTTGGGCTTAAGAGTAATTTGATCTTACCTGTTTTGTCATTTTGTATCTTTCTTTAACTGTCAAAGTCAAGTAATAATTTTGCAAAGTGAAATAAATTTTACTTTTTTACAAATAGAAGAGGTTTTTAAAACATGAGATTGCTTACTGAGGTCCATTATGTGCATGATAATTTTGTTGTACTTTATTTTATGTTACACATTTTGTTTCAACTTTGATATCTGTATTATGTTTTATTTATGTTTAAACACCTAATTCTGTTATATATAAAAATAAAAATCATGTATGAATAACGACATCGCAAATTGTGAAGGTGTTAATTTAACAGTAAAAAAAGCAAAAACAGAAAAAAAAAAAAATTATTTAGACAATAATATGTTGAGTAAAAGTGAAGTAATAACAAGATTAAAAGATGTAAATAAATTTAAAAAAATAAACAAAATAAACAAGTAGTTCAAGTTAAAAAGAAAATATTTGAAAATGAAAAATAAGAAGAAAAAAAAGATTTTTCTACCAGAAAAAATTGATCTTATGAAAGAAAAAAAAACAGTTTTTTATTTTTTATTAAGCACATTGTTTATATTGTATTTTTGTGTATTTCTTATATGTTTTTGTATATTATTTATATATTTTGTGTATTGTTTATATTTTTTGTGTATTGTTTATATGTTTTGTGTATTGTTTATATTGCAGTGTTTATATGTTTTTGTGTATGAATAATGCTTAATATATTTATTTTTTTACTCTTTGTTACTTTTTATTCTTTGTTGATTGATTGAGTTTGCCATTTTGTTTGTTGTTCTTATTAGTGTTTTTTTTTTTGTTATTTGTTCACTATTTTTTAATCAATAAATGTAACATATAATATAGGGTTTAATACTGTATTAAAAGTTTATATATAAGTTTTTATATGTTTAAGTATATTTGTATTTATTTTGCTTATTTATATTTGTTTACAATATTGTTTCTGAACATATCTCATTAAATGTTGTGTTATTTCATACACTCATTTTCTCTCGACATCTGTTCCCTTTTTTATTAGTCTTGCTTTTTTAATATTTAATTTTTGAAATTAATAATATTAATAAAATTTGAATATTTAATGATTCTCTTTTTTTTTTTTTTTTTACTATAATCTTTCTGTCTCCTTTTTTTTTAATGTGTGACACCCAACTTAATTTTGTAAATTATAATTAACTTTGTGATTTTTATTTTTTTGGGTAAATAAATGGATTAAAAAAAGGTATGAAAAAATCAAATTTTTACTGATTTAATAGGTGTCATAACTAATATTCCATCAGGTATGGTAACTGACCAATTTGGTATGATTGGATTACTTACATTTATTCGAGCTGCGGAGACAGAGCCTAATCTTGTAACTTTGGCACTTGGCAGGTAATTTTCTTTAAAAAAAATACTACCTGTTAAACTATTATATATATATATATATATATATATATATATATATATATATATATATATATATATATATATATATATATATATATATATATATATATATATATATATATATATATATATATATATATATATATATATATATATATATATATATATATAGGGGAAAGTTTTTCCCCATAGGGGAAAACTGGACAACATGGCAAATGGGGCAAGATGGTTTTTCATACAAACAACTCAACAAAAAAGTTGATAGTTTTTAAGTTTCAATAAAACTGGAGTCAGAAATTGCATAATAAGTCATCTTGCCCTGGTCACATGACCAGATGACATATTTATGAAATTTTAATTTAATTTTTATTTCCAATTCTTCTACTTGCAAATTAAAAATTCATTCAAGTAATGAGTCATTATGATAACATGAACATACTGACAAAGTATTACTGCTTCATAGCTGATAGTTTTACAATAACTAAGAGCTTTCAAAACATTGACCATCTAGCCCCACTTTCCCCTCTATACAGCCTTTGGAATTTGAGTCAGCATTTAGCAATTTTGACCTCACTGCTGGCTATAAAATATTTGAGGTTGATAAAAAATTGCCGACCTTGTTTTTATGTTGTAGTAATATATTTAAAATACATCAAGTTTTGTAATCTTACTACTAGTTTTTTTTTTATCAGCAAGAATGTCTAAATCTGAAAAAAATTTTAATTATAGAAAAAAATATTTCATAGATAGCCAGTCAAGAATTTGTTATAATTAACTTTTAGTTTGTTGACATTGTTGTAATTGTTTTTAATTTTTATAAGCAGGAAATTACAGTAACAATGTTGCGTTCAAAGATGTTCCAAGTTCAGTCTTATTTACTTATATTATGAAAGTATTTAGTTGTCCTACTTTTAATGTTGTGACAAATATCTGAGTGATCTAACCTTTTAGGTTTTGACTGATCTTGTCAGTCAGAATTTGCTTTACTTTGCTAAATATTAAAACCTACCTGCAGGATGTTAGCCAGCCCAATAGCATGGCGTATACTGCAAAATTCCAAATGTCTTTCAAATTCCCAAAGTTCGATGCATTTTTTGTTTAAAGTATTAAGACAATCTCAATAAAAGTTGCCAATATTTTGCAGAACAATAATAATAAATTTTCCCAATATCACAAAAATACGGTAAAAAATAAATTAAGCTAACACGCTTACCTGGTCTAATAAGAACAGTGAGTGGTGAAATATTTCTTTGTTTCTTAGACATGCTTGTTTTTATGTTTTTATGAAACTTTTGTGGTTTTTTACATTTTCATGATTTTTAGTTGCCAGATATTGATAGCTGCTTCTTAATTACACTAATGACACTTGTTTCCTAGTTGTCTTGTTTGTCAATGTTTGTGTTTCAGAGTTGTATAATTGAGAGAGGGGTGTAATAACAATAAAGAAAAAAAAAGTAGAAAATGAATCTTTTAATGGTACAGTAGTTATATATTAAGTTCATATATAGTAAATAAAATTATAAAAATTATTGTGAATAATAAGTTGCTGTACAGTCTCATATTCTTTTGTGTTCTTGGTCTCATGTTTTTTTGGTGTTGTGACTTTAAATAATTATCTAAAGATATCATGGTCTTCAAGGTTTATGATATCTTCTAAAATCAATCCATCTCAAATCAGCAGTAAGGAGCATCATTATTTTAAAATTAAGTAACTGGTTTCCCCAAAGAACCAAAATGTATGCACTGTAAATAGTATGCACTGTAAACTTAAAATGTATGCATGTTTTAAAATAAAGAATGGTATGCACAATTAAGTGCTTTATAAATTAATGTCACACAGTGTAATACTATTAGCCAAAAATATTTTGTAAAAAATAACTGTCATTACTTTCATTACTTACTATTACATCATAACAAAGTTATAATTGCTTATAAATATTTCTTATTTAATTAAACTTTTTTATTTTACATGTTTTGTCGATAAAGACTCTTTCCAAATCTGAGTTCTTTTACAAAATTTAGCACTCTATTTTGTATAATACAATAAAAATTATATATATATATATATATATATATATATATATATATATATATATATATATATATATATATATATATATATATATATATATATATATATATGTATATATATATGTATATATATATATATATATATATATATATATATACATATATATATATATATATATATATATATATATATATATATACATATATATATATATATATATATATATATATATATATATATATATATATATATATATATATATATATATATATATATATATATATATATATATATATATATATAAAACTTATTTTACAGTGATTTGACTACCCTTGGATTGAACCTTAACTCCACAGAGTAAGTAGCAACATTTACAAACTATTATATTTTATACATTATTAAAGTTTTTGATAAATACAATAATCTTAATTATAGATTTGATTTAAACTAAAAAAACTTTTTAAATCAAAGTAAAATGCTTCATAAATCAAAAGTTTTAAATCATAAAATTTTCTTTTTTCATGTAACAATAATCAGTCAGTTGTCTTACTTATTTTCATAATATAATATTAAAGTAATTTATAAAATTACTCTGTTTTCATTTATAAAAAATTTATTTTTCATTAGTCACTTTAGAATACAACTTTACATGAATTAATATCTTTAAAGTTAGTGATAAAAACATTGCAAAGTTGACTTTTTATGCTACTTTTTGTTTTCATCATTTAAATCAGTGTTAATAAACAATGTAAATCTTCTTGCACATTTCTTCTGCAGCATTTAGCAGTTGCCTCTTAATAAGATTTTAACTGCAAAATGTTCTTTCTTCTGGCTTTCTGTTGGTGGCCACAGACAAAAACATTTTTAAAGGCAAAATGTTTTTGAGACTAACACCAATATGAAGCATAAAAAATGTCTCTAAAAGAAATTTTGGAAGCAAAATGATTTAGAGCTCTCTTCCAGTGGCTTCTGCCTCCCAGCTGGCTGTGGTTGCCAAATTGGAGGCAAAATTTTTGTCTCCCGTCAGTGTAAGTAATGAAAAAATATTTTCATGTTAGTAAGTTAATGAGCAACTTAAATATTAATTAGTAGTAAATAAATATTAATTAGTAGTAAAAGTTTAAATATTAATTAAATATTAATTATTAGTAAAAATTTGACATCAAAATCATTTTGAAAAAAAAAGTTTATAATAAATAATTAAATTGCAAGTTTATGATCAAAATTTGATACATTGTTGCCTATCAATCATTCTAAAACTTTCAATTTACGACAATAACATAACATATTAACTTGAATCATTAGATATTGTAAAAGTTATTGAAAAATATGTCTTTTAATATTCATTAAGAATTAGTAAAATTAATTTTTATAGATGTTGGTTTGAATTGAATTTTTTCAATATAAAAACTTATGAAAACTTAACTTTTTTTAAAAAATAATTCTTTTTTGCAATGTAATTGAAAATTACGTTGCAAAAAATTACGTAATTGAAACTTTAATCAAGCCAAATAATATTCTATGGAGATTTTTAAACTAATTTAAATTCTGGTGTTGTATAAATTTGGTATAAAAAAATTTATACCAAATTTTTATTCACTTGTAAAAAATCTTGTATTAAATTTTTAATATCATAAGATTTTTACTGTGTAAAATTGTATTTTGCAACCAAATTGTATTTTGTCATTACTATTGACCAAATACAACCTGATCACAAAAAAGATTTTTGGTATCAGGTTGAAAAATACAACAATTATTAAAATGTTTAAAAGTGTTGACTAAATATATATATATATATATATATATATATATATATATATATATATATATATATATATATATATATATATATATATATATATATATATATATATATATATATATATATATATATATATATATATATATATATATATATATATATATATATATATATATATATATATATATATATATATATATATATATATATATATATATATATATATATATATATATATATATATATATATATATATATATATATATATATATATATATATATATATATATATATATATATATATATATATATATATATATATATATAGATATAGATATAGATATAGATATAGATATAGATATAGATATAGATATAGATAAATTTGTGATGCTGTTTACAGTTTGATGATTTTATTTTTAATCTAAAATATTTGTTTTCTAATTTAGAAGTTGTATAAACTTTTAGTTCTGATGAAAGTCTGAGCTGTTCAGTTAGAAATATAACAAATAAATTTATACTTTCACCTGCCAAACAAACAGGGTGATCTTAATAAACAGGAGGGTCAAAAATATAATTATAAAATCTAATATACTGGGGAATCTTAATAAACGAGAAAGTTGGAATATCGAAGATTTCAAAAAATAAAACAATCTGCAGTATTTTTAAGCAGGGAAAACGGTATAAAGTATGGGGCAACAGTTGGAGACCATTTTTAATGAAAATTTAAATGTGTCAAAATTAATTTTAATTTTTAGTAAAATACAACGTCACAAATTTTTAACGAATATTAAAATATATTTTTCAATATCTTTTACAATACCTAATTATTAAAAATAAGACATATAACGTTATGGTAAATAAGAAAATAAATAAAAAGTTTAGGATGACGACTTTTTCAAAAAAACTTTGATCAAAATCTGAATTTAAATTTTCAAAATTTAAAGTAAAATTACCTATTTTTAACTTTAGTTTTGAATATTAAACTACTTTTTATTCAATTGTTACGAGGAAAAAAATTATTTTTTTCAAGTCAAAAGTTTGTCAATAAATCATATAAAACGACAAATTTTCATGTCAAATTATATAGTATATAAATAAATCATAAAACGACAATAAAAATTTTATTTGGTCTTAATATTTAATCTGCTCATTAACGTAAAAACAAATGTAAAAAGGTTTTTCATTAATTTCATCGGCGAATGGCAAAAATTCGGCCTCCTGTTGACGGCTGCAGCAAGCTGGGAGGCAGAAACCACTGGTGGCAGTTTCAAAATCATTTTGCCTCCAAATTTCTTCTGGAAACAGCCACCAAAGGCTTCCGCCTTCATATTGGCATCTGTATCCGCAACATTTTGCCTCAAAAAAAAAACTTTGGCTGCAAAAGGCAAATACCACAACATTTTTCTTTTCAGCTCCCAAAAATATTTTGGGAGGCGCCGCTATAGCCTTCCACCTCCCTGATAATCAGCCCGTTTGCAAAAAGTTACTTCACCGTCGGCGGCATTATCAACCCTGATTTAAATTAAATTATTTTTTTTTTAATTCGAATGTTTTTTTTTATATATCATAATCGTAATAATTAATTTAAATGAGTTTTATGACCTCCCATTTATGTTTATTAGGTTCTTAGAGATAAAATCTTTATTTTACATTTTACGTGCTTTTGTCTGCTAATAGACTTAAAGTAAAAGAGCTCTTATATTATAAACTTTTATTAATTGATTTAAATGTTCGAACGTTTTATTTTAGGAGTCTTTATCACACGTTTGGTTCACCATTTTCAGACTCTACTTGTAAACCACATGAAATAGGTTTAGATTTAATGTGGTCACATTAGCGTAATAGTCTCTATATTTAAATGTGAAATAATATTGTTTGGGTAATAACATCTTGGTTATTAAAAAACTGTTTTATTTATTTTAGATTTTTATGCACCTCAAGAATATCTTATAAGTTCGTATATAAGAGATAAATTAGCTCCTATTAAACTCGGACGTTATGGTGAAGATCTTTTGTTTTATTTATATTATACAAATTGTGGCGATATTCTTCAATTGGCTGCTGCCGCTGAACTGTAAGTCTTAGCTTCGTTGGTCTGTGTATTGAAGTGTTAGAATAATGTTATATTTTTCATTAAATTTTTTTTTTTTTTGATATTTCTATAAAAATTATTTACAAAGAAAAAATCTCTGTAAATAATATACTATTAATACATAATACTGATTCACTACTTTGTATTTTTTTGATGTCAAACCAAAAGTTAAATTGCTTTGAAATAGGTTATAATCAAGTTAAAGGTTAAGAACATTTTCAATGCTTAAATTGATTTTGTAAGATTTAAAAATATATATTTTTTGGACTGATTTTTTTTGGAGATAATAAAAATAAATGGATACCAAGATAGATACAAGTAATAGTGTGTGTTTTAGTTGTATATTATAAGTTTTAATATAGTATTAGGTATTTGTTTTAAAAAGACAATGTTTTACGCTTATTGTTTTTTTTTTTTTGGTGATTTAGCCTATAACTTTTTATTATCTGTATTGATAAACTTTTCAACATTTGTTTGTTATAAAAAATTATGATATAGATATATTTATGATATAAATAAAATTATGATATAGATACGCTCGAGATTGGAGGTATCATAAAGACGAACGCGTTTGGATCACACGTTTTCCTGGTATGGAACCTCAAATCAAAACAGCTTCCTATGAGAAAGGGACATATTATTATTTTGATCCACAAGGTTGGAGAAAAGTAGCGAAAGAGTTTTACGTTGAGTACGACAAGCTAGAAGAAAAACCCACAGCACAAGCATTGCAACAACAACAAGCGCAACAACAAACACAACAGGTGGCGTAGATTTTCTCGCAACATTATTATTCTCGTAAGCATGAAGCTTTTCGTGGATTTGATAGTGACTTAAAAGATAAACATTCTCGTACTGCAGACATTTTGAGGTTCGAAACTAGGTCACTCCGATTTGTAAGAATGAATATTGAATATATGAATACATAATTTTCTTTTCTTTCAATGAAGCAATCCTAAAGAAAAAACGCAAACGGTGTATATCGACTTTCGGAATAATATATTTTTAATAAAATTTAGCCAAAAATTGTTTTCAATGCTGTAAATAATAACTTACATTTACAATATTATTTCTGAGACAGCCTTAACTTTTTTTCTCAATTTATTTTTATTAATATAAACTTTATTCAGATTAAGAAGACGACCGGCTTTTATATTACATGTAACAAGTATATTGTATTTTTCTGATTCTCTCCTTCCCTTCCCACCTGATTGTTTCTTTACAAAGTTGAGTTTTACTAGTCCTCGAGATCTTCAACACAGGTGATGACTTAAGCATAAGGGCTGTCGGCTTTTAAGGTAAAAAAAGCCTTTTTTTTTAATTTAGAAAAAATATTAGTGAATAAATATAATTTTATCATTATAGTAAAAAAATTTAATTTTAGAAATACCAAAATGCATCAGTAAATTTGCGAAAAACAAAATTTGCGTATTTTCCTAAGCGATACAACTACAAAAGGTTTATCTTGAACTATTGCGAATTTGCTTTGTCTATGAAAAGTTTATATTTTTCAGACAGAATTTTTTATTCTCTTTTAGAATCTGGTTTTAAAAAAATATTTGGAATTGAACTTTTTGAATAAGAATAATTTCAGTAAAATGACTTTCGTGGGGCATATCTGGACAACAAGTTATTTATATAATTGACTATATTACCATTTTGTGATGCTGTTTACAGTTTGATGATTTTATTTTTAATCTAAAATATTTGTTTTCTAATTTAGAAAAGCAATAGTAATAAATTAAAAGAAATTCTACTTAAATAACTTAGCTTCAATCATTAATAGTGTTTAGTGAAAACAAAGATGGTAAGAAATTACATAAGAAAGATCAATCATCCAAAATGGGATGAAATGCAGTTTTAGCTGTGACTAAAAAGGAACTTAGAACTAGAAAAGCTGCATATGGCATATTTAAGTTTGCTCTTTATTGGCATATTGCTAATAAGCCAGATCGTCAAAAGTATTGCCAAATAGTTTCTGAATATTTTCAAAAGTAGTTTTAAAATATTTTCTGTGTGATTTATGCAATCCATAAAATTTTTTGTTTAATTTCAAATTTAGTAGTAGCTAAAAATTTAATAATATATAGTTTAGGGTAGAGCGGAGGTATTTTATAAAAAAGACCCGAACAAAAAATTTTTTATTTTAGTTGTTATTTCTTTTTTGTGGGATATTTATGTAAGAGCGTGTAGTTTCTATGGGTATGTTACTTTTTTGAGGGCTTAATGTCTGAACATGTTTAGACGATAGATAGCTTTCATCTTTTATCATTTTTAAAGCTTTACAATTGACGAATAAATGTTGCTTTTTAACTGTTCCGTTTCGCCCCACGTCTAGAGTGTCGTTATTTTGGTTGCCGTAACTATTTTTTACGAATATTTTTTTTTTTTTTTTTCTTATATCATTGAATTTTAGGAAATTTATAAAAAACAGTGTTAACTATGGTTAGCTTAGCCACAACTAGCATTTGTTTTTTAAGCGTCCCTATATGCCCCATTCTACCATAAGTCCAAACAAATTGTAAATTATCTTACGGAAATTCCTCACTTGACTCCTCATTTTTAGTCAGTTAAATGATGCATCAAGTTTGTAATTAGAACTGCAAGTCATGTTTACACCAAAGAGAGTTATATGCACGCGCTCAGTGTATATATGACTTTCAATATATACGTTCGTACGTCATACACTATACTAAGATAATCTCCGCTATAAACCTCCGCTCTTATGAGGAGAAATTGTGTAACTTCATTGTAAAAAGCGCAAAAGCATTTAATGATGTTCAACTTAAATGGTTGATAATTCTACAAAAGTCTTTTATTATTATTATTATTATTATTATTATTATTATTATTATTAATAATAATAATAATCTAATCTAATTTTAAAAGAAAGTACAGTGGAGTATAAAATTACTTGCTCGGGTAGTTCATTCCAGTATTTTGCTGATCTATTATACAATTGGTTGTGTCTTGGAAGACAGTTTGGAACATATTCACGTCTTATTTTAAGATGGTGACCACGTGACAATGAGTTAATAAATTTTGGTTGATATATATTATTAATTATATCAAATCGATGTATTAGTTTAAAAGTTTGTATTAGATCGCATCGTAGGCGCCGAAACTCGAGTGATTGTAAATTTAGTCTTTTAAGTCATTCATAGTATTGAAGATTTCTCAAGTTTAAAGCCCATTGTGATGCTTTACGTTGAACAGATTCAACCAAAGTTACGTCAGTTTTTAAATACGGGGCCCAAACAGACACTGCATATTCAAGGTGTGGTCTTATAAACACTTTATATAATTTGAGAGCCATTTTTTCATCAACGATGGTGAATGTTCTTTTTAGCATACCAAGAATTTGTAAAGATTTGGAGACAACTGATTGAATTTGTGTACTCCACTTGAGATTAGATGTAAAAATGACTCCTAAATCGCGCTCTTCAATAGAGCTTCTTAGGCTTTCATTTATACCTTGGTTATTTTGCAAAAAATTGCTATACATAGGATTGGTTTTACCATAATGGATAACACAGCATTTTGAAATGTTTAATTTAAGTAACCAAGTGTTTGACCACTCGTATACTAAGCGTAGACGGTCCTGCAGATCAACGAAATTAGTCTGCGATGAAGTTTTCGAAAAAAGTTTAGTATCGTCTGCAAATACTTCAGAAGTTTCTGTAAGTTGGGCAAGATCGTTTGTAAAAAGAATAAAGAGGAGCGGGCCGAGAACAGAACCTTGAGGAACACCATTAAGAACATCAACCCAGTCAGAGCTAGTATTGTTAGTTGTAACGCGTTGCTTTCTGCCTACTAAGAAGGAATTAATCCACTGTAGTAGTTTGCCGTTTATTCGGAATGATTTTAATTTTAACATGAGTCTGATGTGAGGTACGGAATCAAAAGCTTTAGCAAAGTCGAGGTAGATTACATCTATAAACTGGTGCAATGCAAAGGAAGACGAAATGATATCAAAATTCTCTATTAGATTGGTTACACAAGACTTATGATGAAGGAAGCCAAGTTGATTTGTAGAGAGCAGATTGTTATCATTGATGTACTTCAGTTATCATTGATGTACTTGTTATCATTGATGTACTACATTGATGTATTTCAGGTCAGGTCAGGTTTTCCCGCTACTGGTAACATGTAACCCAGTACAACCTGCTCCATGTCCTGCTGCCTTGTAGGATACGCTTTTTTAGGCAAAGGCTAGGAGAAGTTAACTCCGAATTAAAACACCCCCTGCCTTGGGGCTCTTGGTTGAGTAAAGGCTAGAGATGGTGTCTCGATAAAAATACTCATCTTGGGCAGATGTTACATGCATCCAGCTGCTGTCTTGTAGAAGGCCTCCTAGGCAAAGACTTAAGGGGTAAACAGATTCTATCTGTTGACCAGCCTCGCACCCCTTCCTCATCTATTAGGCTGGCGCAGATGTATTTTTAATACATTGTTTCCAGTTTAGGATGTTGAACGCTGGATCTTCTTGACTCAATGCGTGGGTATTGCTTGTGTCTCTATTTTTATGACTGGGCAACTCATTCTATTATCTCCTAATGAGGGTACAGCTCTAAAACTCAGTTTTATGGTTCTGAGGCCGGCTGGTAGTCAGGTTTCCCGAACTCTGTGGTAGCTCTCAGAGAGGCTGATTCCATCAACAGCCGAAAAATATCAGAGTACTAACAGTGCCATGTTGCGCATGGATGGTGTCCCTGTTTGTACTTTTGGTGTGCATTGCAGAGGCCACATTTGGAGCCCTTTGTTACGGCTTAGGGTTTATTAATAGTAATGAGGCAATAGTAATGAGGCAATTGCTTAGTTGTTAAATAGTGTACTGAGTACTATCTATACTTGAGTCAAGTTCTTTATAAATTTAAAATGACTAAAGTACCTAAAACTAAAAAACACAAAAAACCATCGTCATCACCAAGTTCTCTAAGCCTATCATTTACTAATATTCGTGGTCTTCGAAGTAACTTTTCTTCTGTTGAGTCTTATCTCTTGCAAAGTTCACCAGACCTACTTGCTCTTTGTGAGACTAATTTGAGTTCGGCTGTCCCATCTTGTGATCTTAGTGTTGATGGTTATCTTCCTTTAATTCGTAAAGACTCCAATAATCACATGCTTGGCCTGGGCATCTACATTCGTAAGAACTCACCCATTTGTCGTGAAACTAGGTTTGAATCTACAGACTATTCATTTATGTGCTTTCGTTTAGCACAACTTCACTCTATCGCCTTTCTCTTTGTTCTATATCGCTCTCCTTCTCCCCAAGATTGCACTATTCTTGATGTTATTTCTGATCAAATTGACCAAGCCCTCTCTCTTTATCCATCGGCCAATATCGTCGTTGTTGGTGACTTTAATGCCCACCACACCGATTGGCTTGGCTCTAGTGTCAGTGACTCTGCTGGCGTTAAGGCCCTCAACTTTTGCCTTTCTTAATCTCTAACTCAAATAGTCAACTTTCCAACTCGTTTTCCAGACAACCCTAATCATTTACCTTTTCTACTCGACTTATGTCTTGTTTTGGATCCTAGTCAGTGCTCAATTTCTCCACATTCACCCTTAGGTACTTCTGATCACGGTTTGATCTCTCTAAAACTATTATCAAATTCTTCTACTTCATCAGAATCCCCCTATCATCGTACCACATACAACTACCTTAAAGCTGACTGGGACTCTTTCCGTGATTTTCTTCGTGATGGCCCTTGGGTAGAAATCTTTCGTCTTCCTGCTGACAAATGTGCTTCTTACATAACTTCGTGGATTCAGGCTGGCATGGAATCTTTTATTCCCTCTCGACGATTCCAGGTTAAGCCTCACTCTTCTCCTTGGTTTTCCTCACATTGCGCTGCAGCAATTTCTAATCGAAACTGTTACTTCCATATCTATCAGCAAAACAATTCTCCAGAAAACAGACATCTGT